CCCCCTTGCCCCCCGCCCCCCACCTGGCGCCGCCACTGTAAACAACATATCTTGCCTACAACTTTGAGAAGGTACAGATAACGCTTTCTAGAATCCTCAGTTCTGGCTCAATCTCTATAAAATGACAAGGACGTTAATGTTAAATCTTTGGCCAATGTCTCTGGGCCAGAGCCGTAGCTAAGCATGCATAGTTGTGGGGGGGGGGGTGTAGGCCAAAAATTTCCGAATGACGAAAGAAATTTCCGAATATTTCATGGCATACGAAGCCACGAAGGTGTTTGCTATCCGGAAAATGAAATATACTATACTGCCGTAATTTTCCGAATGACCAACCTAAAACGGTAATGTTATGTAATGGGTCAGCATTTAAATTTCAAACACAGTTTCTGAGACGTAATTCAAGAGGTAATTTATCATTGCATTTGAACTTTTATATACATTTGAACTGTAATCATTCGGTTCAACGAGTTTGTTGTCTTTGTTTGTCATTCCGTCGCGTTCACATGCTATAAAATACCTAGGCAAAGGTCGCTATTGACAATTTCGGTAATTTCGCAGAAAGTGCATAATATTAGACAATTGGCTTTTAAGGCCCATACAGACCGGACGCGATTTGGCAACGCGACGCGAATTGTCAGTTTTCAATTTACATTTAACTTTAATATTTTTCAATGTTTTTCAAATATTCGGAACCACTTAAGCAATTTTAGCTATTTGCTCTGCATATCTTGTAAAATTTTTATCCGTTGACAGTTTTATTTATTTTTGAAAACTGAAAATTCGCGTCGCGTTGCCGAATCTCGTCCGGTCTGTGTGGGCCTTTAGACTTGAGAAATTCTAAAACCTCAGCTTTCTTGTCTAATTGAAACATCATCTTTCTTGTCTTGAAACTCTTGAAAGAACTTTGCTTTGAAATTGCTGGTTGACGCAAACAGCTCGCGCCTCACTTCCGGTTTTATATTGACCGGTCAGTAATTGTTTCGTTGTTGTCCTGTTGTATATATGTACGATATGTAGTCATAAATCATAATTGACGACTGGGTACGAGTCAGCGGTTTCCTCATAGATATAGGGTTGCCTCCTCACCAAAAGCATGCAGTGAACATTACGTTTTGTGGACCGGCACGTGATACGGTTTTGTCCAATCAGCAAACAGGAAATTTGAACTTTGACACTTGCTGTATAATAACAACATTTCGCGCCTTTTTATACACCAGGCTTACGTCATGATTAATAGGTAATGCTTAACTACTAGTATTCACGCCCCAATTCCAAGTATATTTTTGTCCCGAATATAAATATGAATGAACCGTCTCTAATCTCTAATTTGGCAAAACGTATAGAAATATTTCGAAATCATCGTAACTTAGTGTATTGAAGTTTTGAATGATGTTCACCGTTAAAATGATTTTCTTGGCAGAAACGAGGAGTAATGAACGTCAATGGAACATTACCATACTTCCCCTACAGAGATGATGGATTACTTATTTGGAATAAAGTTGGAAAACTTGCCAAGGAATACGTAAACCTGTAAGCAACTAAATAGTCAATGTACACTTTGAAACTTTATAACCGATTTTAGTCAAACTTTCAAGCCCCAGTCAAACGAGAATGAGAGTTGATTAACCTCGTACCCAGGCTCGTTCAACTACGTTTGATGATGGTTACAACTATGTTTTAACTTCAATAAAATACATAATAGTGTTGGGAAAGCATCATAAAACAGCTAACCACGGTCTCGAGATTGCCAACTCTCCTGCACTATCATCCTCGTTTGATTCGGGCAGTTTAGCTATAAAAATAATTTCATAATAAGTTGAAAAAGAAAATATAAAGCGTTAATTTAGTTACATTTATTGTTTTTTAGGTATTATACTAAAGCTCCTGAAATAGATATATCTGTCAAGTTTGAATCTCTTAAAATACCATTAATATCTGCTCCGATTTCCATTATAACTGACATCGAATTGCAAAGCTTTGCTTTGCAGTTAAACGTGACAAATATTGGACCAATACCATGTGGAAGGGTACGTCTGGCTGATATTTTTCCTTTTTTTTAAGTTAGGCTAATGTTTTCCAGGAGTTATTTAAGTAAGATTCAAATCATAAACAATACGTTGAAATTAGTTTAACGCAGTCGCGATGAGTTCTTGCCATCCGGTCTATTAAAAGCACAACTGACATAAGGCATGACCTTTGAGGCATGACCTAAAATTACAAAAAGTGACGAGACATGCCTTTTATTATAAAATTAGCCTTTCTCACTCCGCCATTTTTGAGTGGCTTTCCAGCCGACGTCTGCGAGATAAGTCTACATAACAGCGACTTTTTATAATTTTTTGGACCAATGATTGGTAAATTTGCTTTGTAAATTGTTAGTTTATTTTGAAAAATTGCTTTTCACCTTGTTTTAATTGTCTGTATTGGTTAACGAGACTGAATTAGATGCCACCCAAAAATGGCGGACATTCGTCAACGTGAGAAAAGCTATTTGGCATAACTTGATGTTATTCGGCAATTTACAATTGCCCGACTGCATGATACCTTAGTTATAGCTACAGCCCGCGTGTTAAACTAAACGCTTCTGTGGAGGAGAGAGTTCCAATATCTAGAATAGGAGAACATATTTGCTCTGCTCATATAGTAGCTTCCTTTATGTCGTTTTAAATCTTACTATTAAAGTTTGATAAATAATATTAATTTAGCACGTTACGATTTGTTAATTTTTTCAATATTATCAATTGCCAAGAGAGGACTAAAGTTATTTCTTTTCAGTTTAAAGATTTTCCGTGGGCGATTACAACACATGAGCAACTTGTTGACATCGTGAAACGAATCCTGTTCATTCCCATTCAGCACAGTGCTATCAACTACCCAGTGTCTTACTATGGAGCGTCTACAGCCAACATGCCAACCAAGCTTTATTATCCTGACACACAGGATTTCAGCATTCATAATTTGCCAATTTATAACATTGCTTCGGTAAAGTTTAAATGAAACATTTCTAGTTATCAATCAGTCAATATATTCAATCGGAAAGTAGGGCGACTTCCACGTGAAGCCACTCAGCTCCAGTTTCAGATTCGCAGCTCCAGTTTCAGATTGAATCTGGAGCCAGAGGCACGCCGTTCGTGTTCGAATGGCTCTAACTCAACAAAGCCTTCACCCATCCTAACAATATTTTTTTCTTTCTTCTTCAGGAAAAGGACTATCATATAACGCAATCCCTGAGCCGCTACTGCTTCTAGATTGCTCTAAACAGCTTGCGTAAGTCAAGTCGCCAAACCGTGTCGGGTCAATTAAATCTTGAGCAAGACACGGTTTAGTTCCTATCTAAATCGCTGTATCGTCGTGAGGAATAAATGTAACGCTATAATATTTTTTTCATTCTTCACTGATAATTTCCACATCACCTAAAGCATTCGGCTTGTCTGAAGCGCTTTTAGCTTTCCCTGGAGGGCTCGCATATGTTACAGTATGTCATCGCACAGCGACATATTGATGGAGACAGCAAACACGCGTGCCGCTTAGCGATTTAAAACGCTCGTTCTCCGCCACAAGTTACTTTAACGTCATAATATTTTTTTTATTCTTTACCATAATATTCGAATCATATGAGATTATTTTTAAGCTTATACCGATTTAAACTTAGACTGAACAGCTTGCAGAAGACCAGTCGTCGAACCGCCACATATTGACACTTACCGCAGGTCAGTCGACAAGTCAGCATACTAAAAACGCTTTATCTCAGCCAGAAAATGATTTAAATCGCTAAGCGGCACGCGTGTTTGGCGTCTCCATCAATATGTCGCTAGCGGTTCGGTGACATAACTTATGCGAGCCCTGCAGAGAAAGCTAAAAGCGCTACAGCCGAGTGCTTTAGGTGATGTGGAAATTATCCAGGGGCGGATCTAGGATTTTTCGTACGTTAGTCAAAAATTTCGTTTCTGAACATTGGGGGAGGGGGTACTTTTGACGGGGGGTCGGAGGGGGCTACAAATTAATATTTTTATATGTGTTCTGTTTACGAAAAAATGTAACTTAAAAAATTGCTTTTTCGCCGAATGTGAAACAGATATCCAATTCTCATCGAGAAATAGATTGACAAGGTGACTTGTCGTTTTAAAAATTGTTATTTAATCGCATAATTATTCCTTTGACCGGGATGGTAAAAAAAAAGCAATATAGTGATGCAGTTTATAAATAAAACATTTGATTGATTGTTAAGCAGGAAGAGAATTTCCACGTTTAATTCACTGCTCCTCGAGTTTCATTCGTAGCAGAAACATGCGCCATAAATAAGTATTCACAATGGCAACATGATCCATTTTACTTGTTGTGTACATGTTGTAGAGATCGTATTACACAAGGCCATGCTACATTGTCGTGTTCTTGTAGTTTAAAATATTAAATAGGTATAAACGGTGTTATTAAGTAGCGATCTGATTAATATATAAAGTCTACATGCCACAAGAAGCATAAACAAAGTATAAACACACTGAAATTGCCTGTATTAAGCCGCAATATTTATATAAATTGACGGAAATATTATGTAAATTTCGTATTATTATACGTCTTATACGTGTACCCGCCGATATTATAGCATGCATGTGCGTACAGACGCACAATCCACCACAGTATACAACAGTTTTAATGCTATATCTAGTTAAAATAGAATATATATATCTTAAGTTAAAGCCGTACAAAAGATGTTTGTCTTCTCTCGAATGTACTTCAGGATGTAAGATTCCGCACCAAAATTTCGTGCGAGGAAGGCTGCTTATGTTATTCACAACGCTCAATAAATCTTCGGTACACCGTTATCGCTTGTTTAAATCAGCTTTAATATCTTTGACATTTAGTCCATCGTCATTCTCTAAAGCAGCCTTTACAGTTTCGCAAATACTAACAGACATGGCTGGTATTAGTTCAGAATTTCTGATAGTAAATCTTCCCATTGAACTTTAATAATTTGCGGTCAAGCACAAAGTAGCGATCAGAAAGGGCCAGAAACGTCATAGACCATTCCGTGCACTAATGAAGCCTGAATGGTATGATCGATAAAAAAAATCCAGCCAATGGGAATTCAGGATTGTTTTGAATTAGCCAATCAGATAGCCTGTATTCGAGCCCCTGATCGCTTTAGCGATCAGAACTCCCCACAGATCGCGCAAAAATTGAGATAGCCAATCAGATGGCTGGAATCTGACTCAGAGCGTGCAAAACTAATGGGTAAGACCGCTTTTCTGCGCGTTCATGTTCGAAGGCCTTGCTACTGAATGATGTTTCAAAACTGGACTGTTAAACTTTCAATACATTACACTGCGCGAAGCTTGATAACTGGACTGCTATTTTAATTTAACAATTTTCCATTTTTTTGGCCAATTTTTACCTTAGTCGTGTGATCGCTCTGATCACCCCTAGATCCGCCCCTGAAATTATCAGTGAAGAATGAAAAAATTATTATAGCGTTACGTTTATTCCTTACGACCATACAGCGATTTAGATAGGAACTAACCATCCCTTGCTCAATATTTAAAGGGCAGTATGATCAAAATTTTTATTTTGTTAAACGAAAGTGCTCGTAAAACTGTATAATAACTTGTTTTGAAGATTTTTGTTCCCATGCTTAGTTCTTGAGATATTTCATTTTGTTTGTAACCATGTGACGTAATCTACTCAATTACATATATAATGAGATATCAGTAATTGTTGTGTATCTTTGCTATTTTTATCAAAATATTTCGAAAGATGAGGCGCGTTTGTTAATTTAAACTGCATCATTAAGCATACTGTGTTTTTTAACAAATCGATCAAAAATAGCAAAGATACACAACAATTACTGATATCTCATTATATATGTAATTGAGTAGATAACGTCACATGGTTACAAACAAATGAAATATCTCAAGAACTAAGAGTGAGAACAAAAATCTTTAAAACAAGTTATTATACAGTTTTACGAGCACTTTCGTTTAAGCTTTGGTTTAAGATATTTTTGGTTTAAGAAAAATTTTGATCATGCTGCCCCTTTAATTGACCCGACACCTTTTGGCGACTTGACTTATGCAAGCTGTTTAGAGCAACCTAGAAGCAGTATAGCGACTCAGGGATTGCTTTATATGATAGTCCTTTTCTTGAAGAAGAATGAAAAAATTATTGTTAGGATGGGTGAATGCTTTGTGGAGTTAGAGCCATTCGAACACGAACGCGGAACGCCATGCCTCTGGCTCCAGATTTAATCCGAAACTGG